TGTATTTTTAGTAGAGACAGGGTTTTACCACGTTGGCCAGGATGGTCTCAATCTCTTGACCTCGTGATCCACTCACCTTGGCCTCCCAAAGTGCTGAGATTACAGGCATGAGCCACTCTGCCCGGCCCACTTTCTCCTATTTTATCATCTCTTCCTTTTCTTCCTCCCACCCTTGTCTCCATGGGCTTATGAACAGGTCCTTTCCTTTCTTTTCTACCCCTACTGATATCTGCCAACAACAAAACTCATAGACCTGTAAGTTAAACATCACTGAAAAGGTGATTCTTTGCTATAAGCACCAATCTTTAGAAAACTGGAGAGCCAATCTATAGGTTGGGTCTGTAGCTGAGAATGTAGACCAGATGGTCTGAATCATTTCCAGCATGAAGCCCATGAGTTATAGTGAACTCAGGGTGGGCTTCTAGGGGTACTATGGCTGAAGTGATTGCTTTTTATTCTATGTAAAAGATATGTACTTGTAATACATATATCTAGAAGCATACACCCACCCCCAGATTATTAGTCTGATTTGTACTACAAATCATTCCTCTCCCCTAAGAAGTGACCCAATCTCTTGCAGGATGTACACAGATTATGTATTGCTTTGAGCTCATTCTGCCTAACACTGAAGCCTCTTTGAAAATGTAAAAACAGTGACTGATCAAATCTGGGATTTTCTTAGTTGCACTGTTTTTTTCCAGAGACCTGAAAAAAGTGATATATCTGTGGTTCTTAAAAATATTCCTTTTGGGGTGATCCACTTATAAATTGGGGCATAGTCGGGGATCTCATATCTGCCTTTTAAGATGAAATGTATTTTCATATAAGGCTTTAAATTATTTGAAAAAAAGTAATTTATGAATCATGGTCAGACTTGAAACTATGCCATAGATGCCATAGATATTGGGGGAGAGTCACCCAATCAGAATGCACTATCAAGTGGTCATGGAGACAACGGGATGATATGCATCTCACTTGTAGCCACTTCCAAAATCTGAAATGTATGCCATTTTATAGGGAGCTGTCTGGTCTGGTGATTATTACAGCGTGGATGATCCTGTGCTGCAGTTCCTCAAAGTAAGTATTCAACTCATTAGTTAAAATCACATCTTCAAGGCTGATAAAATCAGGTAGTAAGTGAACATACTGCCATAGAAGTAAGAACAGGAATCTTTTGGCCGGGCGTGGTGATGCACGCCTGTAATCCCAGCACTTTGGGAGGCCAAGGCAGGCAGATCACGAGGTCAAGAGATTGACACCATCCTGGCCAACATGTTGAAACCCTGTTTCTACTAAAAATACAAAAATTAGTCGGACATGGTGGCACATGCCTGTAGTCCCAGCTACTCAGGAGGCCAAGGCAGGAGAATTGCTTGAACGGGAGGCAGAGGTTGCAATGAGCTGAGATCACACCATTGCACTTCAACCATTGCAAGACTCTGTCTCAAAAAAAATAATAATAATATTTTGAAAGAAATCTTCCCTTTTCTTAAGAGAAGCCAATAATAGTTTATTTAAAAGTTTCATGGTCACTGTTGTCCACGAAAACCATAGTTTTTTACATGGCCCACTGTAGTCATAGGCAGTTGTCAGCCTAAAGTTTGTTCTTCAGGGTGAAGGAAAATGATCTCAGGAGGAAGCATGGAGATTCAGGAAAGAATGAAGAGCAAAGACAATATAAATGTGTGTGTACAGATCAATGAATGTTAACCAAACTTACCTAGGATAAAAATACATGACAACAGTGACATAAAATCTGGAAAATAGTGAATGGAATTAAAGTTTTCTAAGGTTCTTTAATTGTGTGAGAAGAGGTGAAAGTATCCATTTATATTAGACTTCGGTAAGTCCAGGATTCATGTTTTAATTGTTAAGAGTAACCACTAATAGCATTAAAATGAGTACAGAAGGCAGGAAAAGGGGAAGGGGGAACAGAAAAAAATGAGGACCAATAGGAAACATCTGTTAAGATATAGATTTAAACCTAGAGATATCAGAAATTACATTAAATGTAAAGATTTCAGTTAAGTGCCAAAGATTTTCAAAATATATAAAAAGATTTAAAACCCAACTTTACACTGCTTATAAAAGATAACCCTTAACTATACTGATATAGAAAGATTTAAAGTCAAAAGATGAAAAAAATTTACAAACACCAGCCAAATGAAATCCAGTATTGCAATTTTAACAACAAAGTAGAATCTAAGGCAATTACTGGAGGGAAAAAAAAATTTTATGAATATTTTTAATTTTTTGATTTAAACTTTTTAGTTTGAATTTTCAAATATATATTAAAAGCAGAGAGATTAATATAGTGAATCAGATGCTTATCTGTGATGTTAATAGTCTTTGATAAGTACTGCCTAAATCCATTAGTTAGTTTGGTTTGCAAAACTGTGATATTCTAGTTATATCACTACTTGTTTATTAGCTGAAAAACGTCTATAAAGAGAAATGTCCACTTATTTATCCGTTGGCTACTCCAAGGTACAGATCATCAGAAGAAAATGAAAGGAAAAGAAGTTAATTCTCTCCCTTAGTTACCAGTTTCCTTTTTTTCTTTTTCTTTTTTTCAGACAGAGTCTTGCTCTGTCGCTCAGGCTGGAGTGCAGTGGCATGATCTTGGGTCACTGCAACTGCAACCTCTGCCTCCCAGGTTCAAGCGATTCTCTTGCCTCAGCCTCCCAAGTAGCTGAGACTACAGGTGTACAGTACCATGCCTAGATAATTTTTGTGTGTTTCTTTCTTTTTTTTTTTTTTTTTTTTGAGACAGAGTCTTGCTCTGTCACCCAGGCTGGAGTGCAGTGGCATGATCTCAGCTCACTGCAACCTCTGCCTCCCACTTTCAAGGAGCTCTCCTGCCTCAGCCTCCCGAGTAGCTGGGACTACAGACGGAGGCCACCACACCCAGGTAATTTTTGTATCTTTTACTAGAGACAGGATTTCACCATATTGGCCAGGCTGGTCTCAAACTCCTAACCTCAAGTGATCCGCCCACCTTGGCCTCCCAAAGTGCTGGGATTATGGGCAATTTTTGTATTTTTAGTAGAGACATGGTTTCACCATGTTGTCCAGCCGGTTATCGAACTCCTGACCTCAGGTGATCCACCCACCTTGGCCTCCCAAAGTGCCAGGATTACAGACATGAGCCACCACGCCCGGCCTAGTTACCAGTTTTTAAAATGTATTGTTTCTTACCTGGGCATTCTCCAACGGTGACCAATGAGTCTTGTTTCTTTATTTTTGTTTAGTACCATTAAAAAGTCATGGATTTAAACATACTTATTTATTTATTTATTTATTTTTTTTGAGACAGAGTCTCACTCTGTCACCCAGGCTGGAGTGGTGTAGTGGCAGGATCTCAGATCACTGCAACCTCCACTTCCCAAGTTTAAGCAATTCTCCTCCCTCCTGAGTAGCTGGGACTACAGGTGGACGCCACCACGCCCAGCTAATTTTTGTACTTTTAGTAGAGACGGGGTTTCACCATGTTGTCCAGGCTGGTCTCGAACTACTGACCTCATGATCTGCCTGCCTCAGCCTCCCAAAGTGCTGGGATTACAGGCGTGAGCCACTGCATCTGGTCAATTTAAACATACTTGATGTGTTTCAGTCCATGACAGTTACTGTCTTTATTGATGCTCACACCATCCCATTTTTGGCCAGTGGCACTTACTCAGGTTGGCTCCTGAATTGTTTCTGACATGACCCTAGTAAATCTTTGATAGCTTCCTTGCTTTCTGGTATGCAAGATATTAAACCAGAAAGTCATTTTATACCCAGGATCATGTTTTATGCCACAGACCTGGAATCAGCAGTGTTTGCAATGTTTATGAATTTATATATGTCATAAAGGTATATGTATACATAGATACATATATATGTACATGTATACATTTAAAGTTAAAGTATCTTATGAGTTTATACTAACTACTTAAATTCAGAGGCACCAGTTCTCATTAACCTTATTGGACATTTTATATCTGTATCTCCTTTTAAAACATGGCAAAATCTCTAGTCTCAGTGACCTCAACATAATCACCCATTTGATTTATTCTATAATGCAAACGCAATCTCAAAATAATAATATGACTAATGAAAACGGGTTCTTTTGTTTGTTTTTGTTTATTAGAGTATAACCTACTAAGGGATGTACGCTCAAATTACTGGGCATAATTGTTCTGTATGCTAATGCCACCAATTGAATACACAGGTTCATTTATTTCTAGGGATAACTGTATTGAAAATATACTGATATTATTTTATAATTATGTAAAATATCTGCATGGCTCGAAAGTCAAATCTATAAAATAAGATATATTAAAAGAAATCTATCCAGTAAAACCAGGTGGAAAGAGAAAGAAAAAAACACAAAAGAAATGTAGCTTCTCCAGCCCCCAACCCTGTATCTTCCCTTTCCCTATGGGGGAAACTTTTTTCAGTTTTATAGTTTATCCTTCCATGATTTTTCAGTGGAGCAAATGTGTGCAGTTAGTTCTATTCCTGCTTATCTTAGGTAATTGGCAGTGTACTGTACACAGTTGTATTCCACTTGCTTTTCCACTTATATCCTGGAGATCATTCTATAGTATAGAAAAACTTTTCTTATTCTGCCGATAGCTCCATAGTTTAATCACCCAGTCCTCTGCTATGTAGACAGTAGACAGAGCAGGACTCTGTCTCATCAGATAGTTAAGGCCAAGGCGGGTGGATCACGAGGTCGGGAGATTGAGACCATCCTGGCTAACATGGTGAAACTCAGTCTCTACTAAAATACAAAAAAAAAAAAAATATATATATATATATATATATATATATATATATATATAGCTGGGTGTGGTGGCGTGTGCCTGTAGTCCCTGCTACTCAGGAGGCTAGGCAGGGGAATCACTAGAACTGGGAGGCAGAGGTCACAGTGAGCCAAGATCGCGCCACTGCACTCCAGCCTGGCAACAAAGCAAGACTCCATCTTACAGAAAAAACTTTCTATTTACTCCCAAATTCCCCTCCATATGGCTCCTCCATTTTGCATCCCCACCAGCCATAGCTAACAGTGTCTGTTTCCCCATAGCCTTGCCAACAGAATATATTATCAAAATCTTGAATTTTTACTCATCGGATAGTTGAGAAAGGGGTAGTTTTAACTTACATTTCTCTTATTAAGAGCAAAAGTGAGCACATTTTCAAATGGTTAAGAGCCATTTGTATTTATTTTTCTATGAAAAATCTTGTTCTATCTCTGAGCAATGTAGGTTTAACCTGACTCTAAGGTTGTTAGTCTTTTCTGTTTTTAGAAGCTCCATCTGTGATGTAACCTGAAAAGATTTTTTTGCAGTTTGTTATTTTCCTTTAACTTTGCTTAGGCAAAGGCTTTGTCATGAAAAGTTCTTTTATTTTTTTATCTTTTTATTTTATGTAATTGTACTTATCAATTCTTTTCCTTAATTGCTTCTGAATTTGGAGTCATAGTTAGGAAAACCTTCTCTCTCTCAGGTTGTAAAGTAACTTGCCTAAGTTTTCATCTAATACCTGTATGGTTTCATTTGTACATTTAAATATTTGATCTGTTTCGAATTTACTCTGGTGTTAATGGTATGAAGAACAGGTCCAGTTTCATATTAGAAAGTAGATTTAATATGCCAAAGGAAAACACTTTTTTTTTTTTTTGAGGCAGAGTCTCGCTCTCTCTGCAGGCTGGAGTGCAGTGGCGTAATCTCGGCTCACTGCAACCTTCACCTCCTGGGTTCAAGCAATTCTCCTGACTCGGTCTCCTGAGTAGCTGGGACTACAGGCATGTGCCTCCACACCCAGCTAATTTTTGTATTTTTTTGTAGAGACCATGTTGGCCAGGATGGTCTCGATCTCTTGACCTTGTGATCTGTCTGCCTCAGCCTCCCCAGGTGCTGGGAATACAGGCGTTGAGCCACCAAACCCGGCCCAAGAAGACACTTTTTAATGACAAAAGATTCAGTTCATTAAGAAGATAATAACAATGCTACATTTGCATGGACCTAATAACACAGCCACCAAATAGATACAACAAAAATTGACAGAACTAAGAAGAAAAATGGAAAAAGCCACAGTCATTTTGGGAGACTAACACACCTCTCAGTTACTAGCAAACAAACACAAAAAATAAAAATAATGATATAAAAGATTTTAATCACACAATAAGAAACCAATAATGGCAGAATACACATTCTTTTCAAGTGCACCTTGAGTATTTTACAAAATGACTATATGTTTGGCCATGAAGTAAGTGCCAACGAATTTCAAAGGACTGAAATCCCGCAGAGTATGTTCTTTGACCACAGTGCAATTAAGCTAGAAATCATTACCAAAAAGATAATTAGGCAATTCCTGTATATTTGGAAGTTAGGAAATACAGTTTCAAATAACACTTGGGTCAAAGAAGAAATCACAATAGAAATTAGAAAATATTTTGAACTGAATAAGGTGAATATTATATATCAAAAAGTGTGAGATGCAGCTAAAAGTCATGCTTAGAGGGAAACATATAGCCTTAAGTATATTTTTTCAAGCTTCCAGGAGTTAGGAATTTTTTATTTCAAGAAATTAGGAAAAGAACAGCAAGTTAAACCCCAAAGAAACAAGAAGAAAATAAACATAAAAACAGAAATCAGTGAAATAAAAAAATCAACATAAAAATAGAGAATTAAGGTCAAATATTGATTATCTGAAATGATTTATGACATTGATAAGGACTGACAAGACAAAAAGGAAATAAGATCACAAGGAAGTACAAATAACAAATGTCAGGAATAAAGAAGACTACTACTATGTATCTAATAAGTATTGTAAAAATCTTAAGTGGATATTATGAAGAACTTTACACCAATAAATTTGAAATATAAATTAGACAGATTTCTTGAAAAAATACAGTTTACCAACATTTACACAAGAAGAAATACTCAGAATGGTCCCATAACTATTAAAGAAATTGAGTTCATAATTTAAATTTTATAGCTGGAGAAGTCTACATAACATTTAAGGAAAAAAATAATAGCAACTTTCAATAAATACTTCCAGAGAACAGAAAAAAAAGAAACACTTCCCAACTAATTTTATGAGGACAGATAATCAAAACTTGACAAGAACATGACAAAAAAAAAAAAGAAAGAAATTACACAATCTCACTCATGACCACAGATGGAAAATTCCTAAACAACACATTAGCAAGTCAAATCCTGCAATGTATAACCCAACCACCAAGTCTGGTTTATTCTAGGAATGCAAAGTTAGTTTAACATTAAAAAAACCAACCAATGTTTTCCACCACATTAATGGAATGAAAGAAGAAATTAAGTTATCTTCTAGATCCATACAGAAATAGCGTGTCATAAAATTCAACATCCATTCATGTTAAAAACTCTTAGAAAGTAGTGTAGAAAGGAACTTAACCTGATAGAGGATATCTGCACTAAACCCTGAGACTTAATGGTAAACAGCTGAAAACTTTCTCTGAGATCAGGAATGAGATGAGGTTGGCCATACTGCCACTTCTATTCAACGCCATCCTAGCTATTGTCCCAACCAGTAAAATAAGGCAAGAAAAAGATATAAAATGCCCAAGGATTAGACAAGAAGAAATAAAATTTTCATTATTTCTGGGTGACATGTATAGAAAATAAAAAAGAATTAAATAATTACTAGAATAAGTGAGTTTTGTATGGTCACTGGATCAGGATACAAAAATCAACTGCATTTCTATCAGCAAGTAACAAGTGATAAAACAAAAAATTACCATTTATAAAAACATTCAAAAACTCAACTCCCTAGGAACAAATCTAGCAAAGATATGCAAAATCTCTACACAGAAAACTATAACACATTATGGGAGAAACTGAAGAAAGCCAAAATAATTGGAAGGCTAACCATATAATGGCAAATGGATGAATAAATAAAATGATAGAAGAGAGTAGAATTTAGAAACAGATCTATACATATGTAGTTTTGACTTGACAAAGATGGTACTTCAAGGTAGCAAAGAAAGGCAGTCTTTTCAATAAACAGGCTTAGATAAATTCAATATCCACTTGGAAAAATAGTGAAAGAACCCCTACTTTCACAACTTGCATAAAAATCAATTCCAAGGGGATCACAGATTATAAAAAAGCAAAACGATAAAACTTATACTAGAGAATAAATACCTTCAAGACTTTGGTGAGGGAAATTCTTAAATAGAACTCAAAAATCATTAGGAAAAGATCAACTTTACCATTGTCAAATTAATCAATGACTTCTGTTCCTCAAAAGATGTCAACTGGGACAAGGTATTTGTAACACATATAAATAAGGATTTATATTTAGCATATATATAAAGAATTTCTACAAATTAATGAGTTATATTTCTATAAAACAACTGAGATGAGAATATACTAAAATATAACTATGTGTTTTATCAAGTCAGTCTTTATACTTCTTTCCAAAGCAGTCCATACTTTTTATTGGATTTTGATTTATAATAATTTTTGTGTCTTTATAGGAACCCAGCTGGTGGAAGAATTCAATTGGCTATTGCCATTGCAATCACACTTTTCCCATTTATCTCATGGGTCTACATATATGTTAACGAGGAAATGCGGTCCTCCTGGCCAACTCATTGCAAGACAGTACTTTAAATAAATTCAAGAATTTCATTTTTAAAATGAGTGTTTTCAGTCAATTTTTTATAAACATTAGGGGAACAAGCCAGTTTTCAGGAGTTTATTTCAGGTAATTGGGGCTAATAGAGTTTTTTAAAATTCCAAATAACTTTTTAAGGCTGCATACAATTTATTTGATATAAGATTGGATGGGACAAGTGAGAAACAGTCTGATGTTTTCCGGAAGCCTTTCTGCAGGGTCTTGTGTCATAATGTAGTGGAAAAAGCCAGAGAATAGAAGTTTAAATGCAAGTTCTAACTACTCACCTTTGTAACTATTTAATTTGGGCAAATATATAAACCCCCGGTGGGTATTTCTTTATAAAACAGGATTAATGCCAGATCTACTTATATAGTTGTAAGCATCAGTCTAGAAAATGTAAGAGCACTCTGAAGATACAAAGTGTTCAGAAAGATTACAGAGGGCTGCAGGTGATTAAAATAGAGGGGAGCAAGGATTGGGTAATATACTGAAATAAAGGATCAAGACAGGGTTATAGCCCCCCCCCCTTTTTTTTTTAAAGACAGTCTCACGGTCACCCAGGCTGGAGTGCAGTGGCATGATCACAGCTCACTGCAGTCTTGACCTCTCAGGGCTCAGATGATCCTTCTACCTCAGCCTCCCAAGGAGCTAGGACTACAGGTGCGCACCACTAATTTTTTTAAATTTTTTGTGGATACGGGGTTTTGCCATGTTGCCCAGGCTGGTCTTGAACACCTGAGCTCAAGCGATCTGTCCACCTCAGCCTCCCAAAGTACTGGGATTATAGGCATGAGCCACCCGCCTGGCCTCTATTACTAAAATCTTTCACACCTCCACATTTTTCTTCCATTGTTCTCTACTTCACACAGCTCAGAAAGCTCTAAGGGCTCCATACTATCTGGCAAGTTAAAGTCTATCTCTTGGTTCATCATTCAAGGCCCTCCGTAATATGGCCCCAGCCTATCCTTTTTTGCCATATTTTTTGCCATATCCCCCTGCCTCCAACCTGGCACCTTTTTGGTGAATCGTCACAGCATGACTTGCCATATCTAACTTCAGCATACCTTTTTGATGCCTCTGCTTTTGCTGTTCTACTTGATATACTCTTCTCCACTTATTCAAGCCATTTTTCTTCATTTTGCATGTCATCCCCAATCCCTTCGAACAAAATTAATCTTCCATGTTCCCTTGGTCCTTTGTGTGACCACAAATTTCACATATTTAAATCATGGATGTCTGTTTAATTCATGGTAAGGTCTATGAGTGCAGGAGTACATTATAGTCACCTCTGTGGTCAGCTGAACAACTGTATCCACGTCCTAATCCCTGGAACCTATGTTACCTTATATCACAAAATAAATTCTGCAGATGTGATTAAGCCATCCTGAGATGGGGGTTACCTGGATTATCTGGTTGGGTCCCAAAGGTTACTGTAAGTGTCCTTGCAAGACAAAGGCTGAAGCAGATCTGACTACGGACAGCAGAGAATATGACATGACAGTAAAGAAAGATTTGAAGATACAACACTGCTGGCTCTGAATATGGAAGAAGGGGCCATGGGCCACAGAATGCAAAAGTACAGCTCTGGAAGCTGGAAGAGGATTCTTCCTAGACCCTCCTCAGGGAGCATGGCTGAAACCTTGGTTTCAGCCAAGCAGAAATGATTTCAGACTTCTGACCTCCAGACTGCAAGAAAACAAATGTGTTGTTTTAAGCCACAAGGTTTGATTTCTAACAGCAGCCATAGAAAGCTAATACTCCTTTATACCTCTATAGTATTCAACTGGCATGCTTATTTCTTATCATGTTTTGGGCGCTCCATCAATCTTTCTCCACACCTGAGTAGACCCCATTTGCCATCTAGTGTTTCTGCACATAAGCCTTAGCATATATGAAAATGGTGTTAAGCATCTCCCATTAGTGTACAAAGGGAGTCAGTGTAAATTCATTTACCTGCTGTAGCTTCACCCAGCACTAGCTGGTGACCCAAAGAGACCAAGCTGGCTGGCACACGGCTGCACTGCCACTTGGTCCTATGAATCACAAGAGGACAACATGACTTTTCTGAAGGCCCTTCTTACAGGGATGGAGCGCCACACACTCACCGTGAAATATCTGTTGGTAATTTTGTTTACAAAATGGGAATACAAGCCAATAAAAATGCAAGTGTAGGTGTTCGGAGAAAAAATTCTCCAAAGCTCAGTTACACAGCAGGGTGAACAGAAAAAGTGTACCTGAGCTTATGTGGTGAACTTGCAGTTACATAGTTAATCAACGTGAATACATTCTCCTTGTAAAAAGTTAAAAAATCAGGTTAGGCCAAATAAAATCCCTCATGAGGACTATACACCCCTGCTCAGTCTCCTCCCTAGTTTACTGCGTTTCTAACTTACAATGGATACATTATCCAAAAAGACATTTCTGAATACTTTATCAACCAACACACACTGAAACTATGAATACATTTTGTTATGCAAGCTGAATACTAAACAATGAGACTGAGCATTTTTATGTTTTTGTTTGGGGGGACAAACACAAAGCTCATTTTCTATCAAGCTAAACAAAATAAACTAGACTAACAATGGAAGGCTCTTTCTTTTTTTTTCTTTTCGAGACGGGGTTTCACCATGTTGGCCAAGCTGGTCTCGAATTCCTGACCTCAGGTGATTCACCCACCTCGGCCTCCCAAAGTGCTGGGATTACAGGCGTGAGCCATCACTTCCAGCCTCTTTCTTGTAATTCATAATTCTGTCTGGAACTCTGCCTCTCCCTTTCAACAGCATTTTGTCAGGATAGACGTGAACTGTGCCGAAAGCTTGGCTGTCTGGAGCTGTTTCAATAACTCCTTCTAGGTTGACGTGGTATACACCAAAAGGATCCTCAGAGTAGCCACCATCATGGGTGTGACCAGCAAAGAAACACACCACACACTTGTGAGACCAAATGACTGCCAAGGCATCTCTGTAGTTCCAGGCCAGACACACACTGTCAGAGGCGTCAGGGTAAATGGGAAGATGGCCTGTTAGTTAAAGAAAAGAAGAGTTATAAGCCAATTAAGAAACCTCTCTTCTATAAAAATAAATGGCTAAAAGCTAGCACTCAGAAAAAGAAAAAAAAATTGCTATCTCATTATGCAAATGAACTGAGACCAGAGGGAATTCACACCCATGAAAACACTAGGCCACCTACAGCCACATCTCTGAAGCATGGAAGAAGGGTGAGACAGTTCACATGACGTGCGACAAGCTGCTGTAGACGTAAAACCTGAACCTCTGAGGCCTATGTCATCTCAAGTTGCCCAAACACCAAGGAAGACTGAGGGTGTCCTATGCAGCACAGTCTGCAGAGGCAGCCAGAAATTGGGCAGATGCTGTGCTGGAATCCAATCCCCCTGATTTCCTTAAATGTGAATGAATGTTATATACACAGCATTATGTAACATAAAATAAAAGAACAGGCCGGGTGCGGTGGCTCATGTCTGTAAACCCAACACTTTGGAAGGCCAAGGCAGGTGGATCACCTGAGGTCAGGAGTTCAGGACCAGCCTGGACAACATGGTGAAACCCTGTCTCTACTAAAAATACAAAAATCAGCCAGGCGTGGTGGTAGGTATCTGTAGTCCCAGTTACTCAGGAGGCTGAGGCAGAAGAATTGCTTGAACCTGAGATGGGGTGGTTGCAGTGAGCCAAGATCACACCACCACACTCTAGCCTGGGTGACAAAGCGAGACTCCATCTCGAAAAATAAAAATGTGAAAATAAATGAATGAATGAACAGTTTAGGGATGGACCATGGATTATGTGTCATTTACATAAACAATGTCTCAGAATTGATTTATGGGATTTTAAACACCCATTACATCAAGGTAGCCATACCCACTTTACAGATGAAAAACTGAGTTAAAACAAAGAAGATTTATTCTGGCGTCCACAGGAAGTATGCAGAAGCAGAGTTTCGAATTTCTAACGGCAACACATCCATGAGTTTATACCATACATCAGGCCATGGTGCTCACTCTGAAGTACAGCTCACATTGCATCTTCCCATTAAATCACTTTTTTTCTATTACTGTTCATTTTTATTCTAAAATTTAAACATGTTTCTGCTTAATACCTGTTTGTAATACAAGTTTTTTTTTAAAAAGTGCTTACATGCACTGATTACCACCTAACAGCTAAGCATCCAAAGGCATGTGAGTATCTGGAAGCCACACTGATTCATCTATCAAGTCCCTGCAGCATTTGACACAATTAGTTGTTCCCTTCTCTCTGAAAAATTTGGCTCTCAAGACACCACTATTTTTCCTAGTGGTGTCTTTCTAGTTTTTCCCTAACTTCAATGGCCACTAATTTCCAATCTCCTTTGCTGGTTTCCTCTCATTTCCCCAAGGTCTTACCAGGAGTGCCTGAATGCTTGGTCCTTGGACTTCTCTATTCATACCTAATGCGTTGGTGATCTCTTAGTGATTTACTAAGTGATTAAATGTCATCTATATACTCTTTCAATTTCCACATTTATATAGCTAGCCTAAATCTCTATTCTGAATTTCAGACTTCTAATGTCTGAGCTACCCACTCAGCATCTCCAACAATGTCTAGTAAGCATCTGAAACTTACATTTCCAAACCTGAACCCCTGTCCTCTCCATTCAAACCCCTCATCCTGCAGTGTCCCCTCTCTCAGCTAATGGCAATTCTGTCCTTCCAAATGCACGGCCAAAATTCAAAAAGTAGGATGACCTCGAGTAGCCACAATGAAAGTTAAGAAATCTATTACACTTTAACTTTTAAACTTTACGAAAGAAAACTTAAATTATTCAGTTGTTAAGTTTGCTTTTCCAGTTTTTAAGCTTACAGCAAATAGTAGAAGAAACTTAAGAGATGCTAAATTAGATAGGTGTACCGCCATGAATAAAAAAAAGGGAAGAACCCAGCATCACATGGGAAAGGGGACTGAGACATAAAGCATGGATTCTAATCACAGTGCTGTCAGTAGCTACGTGACTTTGCTATGCTTCAATC